CTGCAGAGCCATAAACCAAGAGAGCATCACATTTCATCATACTGGCATTTCAGGTGCAGAACTCCATAACAGCAACTCCTTGATGCGACTGAGAGCTGTTTTCTCTCTGTAGGGAGATTTCTTGTCACTCCAATCCACAATGCAAGTAATCCTGGAAGAGAGGCTGTTGGCATGCGAACAATAACTTCCAGTTCCCAATGTTGCAAGAGCTCCTTCATAAGCGGAGGGAAAAAGTGACCTTTGAAAGACCTTGAGCACACATGCAGCAAGCGATCTGCTCATTAGCCAACAGGCATGAAAACAGAACACAAAATATAAGACTGCATCTGACCATGGGAATTCAAATAAACCAGGCTATCCAGCCCTTCACACCTGCTTAGGGCCTCCGTTGCTTCCTAGGTAAGTCACTGGGAACTAAAACATTGCTGAGTAGTATCTGTGCTGCTAATAAATATAACAGCGCATGAGAACAGAAAAGAAGACTAAAGAAAAGTATCAGTGTGAGCTACATGAAAGAACAGAATGAAACAGGAGTTGCTGGTAACACAGATAAATTCACTCAAGAAAAGAAAAAAAAAGGCAAAAGTGATTTTTGACTTGAAGTTTAGAAAATTAAAGAAACGGAGTCACTTTTCTTCAGTGCATCTTCCTAAGTGCCTAGCAGGCCAACTGACATGTCACACTGTTGTCCCAAAACTGGAGTTCATTACTAAATTCACACAAGAAAAGAAAAAAAAAAGCAAAAGTGATTTTTAACTTGAAGTTTAGAAAATTAAAGAAACAAGAGTCACTTTTCTTCAGTGCATCTTCCTAAGTGCCTAGCAGGCCAACTGACATGTCACACTGTTGTCCCAAAACTGGAGTTCATTACCCAGTGTGCAACAATCAGCACACAGAGTCGAGATACCATATCTATTTGCTATTTTGTGCAAGACAGGATGCTATGTGTAGCTCCACAAAGCTAGCATGCTGGTTAGTCACACTGTTATATTTATACTGTTCAAAATGTTAGTTCCATCTTCTTTGCCACATCCCTCTGACTATAATTGGTTAGGTTTTATCCCTTCTTAACTGCAATTGCTTAGTTCTTTTCCCGCTTTGATTTAAAGACAAAGCCATCCTTAAATTTACAATGCATGCTTGGTGAGTGAGGGTCCTAATTTCGGGAGGGTCCTCCAGACACTTGGTGGTGTGGTTTTCACATGACAATGAGATGGTTCATCCTAAGGACACTTTAACGGTTTTAGGATTTGTGATGAACAAATTTAACAAAGCACTCACGCTCTGGGATGTTCTGCACTTCAAGGACAGCAGTTCCTGATTAGGAATCCTTCATTAAGTCACTCCTTTTGTCTTGAAAGACGGACTGACCCAGCACTATCTTACTGTTCACATACTTCCTGGGTTAATACTTACTGACAGAATACAATCTTCAGGCTACAGTGACTACAATTCCCCCCTTTGGGACTTATTAGGAAGGAATCTTTTACACCTCCTATTGAAGACTCATGCTATCTTTTAATAAACCTGTTTTCCTGACATTGAGCAGCACTTAAAAATACATTGGATAATCATGGAAATGCACACAAAGATCATTAATGCAATTGTAACAATCAACAACTTGACCCACAGACTTAGGTCAGGGAACCAGTGACTTGGCCATCTCCAAGTTTCTTCAAATCCCCGAAAGACCACTGGTGAAGAGGACCAGGAGGAGATCAGCCCCATGTAGCACGTCCCTCGGGTCCGAGGCTCCCGGACCGCTTGCACTCGGCAGCCCTCAGCCGCTCCTTGCTACCCTCCATCACCTAACACCAGCCTGGGAGGAAACTTCCCTACTCAACGCAGGCCAGTAGCAGCCTCCCGGGCCATCAATTCCCACCCTTCTATGAGTGACAAATTCTTCATAAGCACGAGATGAAGTGGCACATGTTATAAAGTGGGGAGCCACAACGCTGACAGCTGGGGGAAGGTTTGGAGGCACAGAGCAGAGCGAAGCAAGCTCTCACCGAAGAGGTGAGCGATGCTGGAGGACGCGCTGCTCGCACAACTGCTCCCACGCGGGGCGAGCAGCCGGGGACCGAGCTCCTCACCAAAAAAAGAGCGCAGCCCCTCTCACACCGCCGCGGCCAGGCGGGCCAGGGGACGCTGGGGGGCTAGCGGGAAATGAGGAATCGCAGAAACTCACAGTATTCATCTAGAGAAATTTAAAAAAATAAACACAAGGGGACAAACA